CCATAAATTTTCTGAGAGAATAATAACAACATACTACAATCTGAAGCTCTTTCATTTTTGTAATAAGGATTATGCTCCCTCATAGGCAAGCAATAAGATACAAAGAAATTCAAACAATTTTTTTCAATGCGTCACAAAGCACATTGTCTGGCACATAAACATACATGAACATCTAGTGTACTCTATCATGTCTGATTTTATTATTTTAAAATGTTATGTTGATTAAAAATAAATAAATAAACACATTTTTTAAATATTTTTTTTTCACTCATGGCCCTATCGGATATAACCGACACGAACAAAGCAAAATTTTGGACGGTTCTCTGAATGTTTTTTTTTTTTTTTGCGATTTTTTACACATGCTATCTCGGAGTATATACAAACATATTTGATGGTTGGATCATTGAAACTAGTTTCGTAGAATGCATATCCTGTCAAATTGATAGATTTAACAAACATTTAAGAGTTAATGTTATAAGTATAAAATAAGATTTATCCACTAGTGTAAATATTTTAAATTGAAGATCGAATTCATTCATTGCATTCTTATAGGGTCGAGGAGTGTAGCTGTAAAAAATCATCAAAATCGAAGCTAAAATAACCGTTAAATTGTGATTTTTCGTTTATAACCATCGAAAACTTTTGTTCCATTACCTAATATCTGAATGTTTGTTTTTTGCAATTTTTTACGAATGTGATCTCGGAGTGTTTACATACAAGTTTGACGGTTGGATCGTTGAAAAACGTTTTGTAGCATGCGTATCACATCAAAACGGTAAATTAAACAAACACTTAGAGTTAATGTTATACTTCCCCATCAAGTATAAAATAAGATTTTGTGGTATCCACTAGTTTAAATATTTTAAATTAAAGATCAAATTTATTCATTACATTCTTATAGGGTCGAGAAGTGTAGCTGTAAAAAATCATCAAAACAGAGCTAAAATAGCCATCAAATTTTGATTTTTCGTTTATAACCATCGAAAAATTATGCTCCGTTACCTAATCTCTGAATGCTTGTTTTTTACAATTTTTTACGTATGTAATCTCGGAGTGTGTACAAATAAGTTTGACGATTGGATCGTTGAAAAAAGTTTCGTAGAATGCATATTGTGTCAAAATGGTAGATTAAACAAACACTTAGAATTAATATTATACTTCTATTAAGTATAACTAGTGTAAATATTTTAAATTAAAGATCGAATTTATTCATTACATTCTTATAGGGTCGAGGAGTGTAGCTATAAAAAATCATCAAAATCAGAGCTAAAATAACCGTTAAATTGTGATTTGTAGTAGTGACGTGTATGTTGAAGTACCAATATGCACAAGGTAAACATCGCCTTAGAAATGTCTAAGATGAAACTTAACAGAAGTCGAACATGAGATTTGTTTCATGTTGAAGCTTGTAAAGCCGGATATGAGTATCTAGGTGGGTGCCTAGAAGGCGACTAGGCTAGAAGACTCAGGTTAGGCGCTTGTGTAGCAACTAGACTAAGATCCGTATGGTGTATGTCCAATGGACATGTGACACATTCATTGAAATGAGGATACACCATAGCATACAAATCATATTATATGTGTTATAACCGACTGATAGTGGGAGTGATGAATTGATCCTTGCTTCAATCACTGTGTGAACCACAAGGAATCTATACGATTCCACCCTTATACCCTTTGAACTAAAGTCTATGTTAGAAATATGAGGTTTAATGATCGCTACTTTAGCACGTTTATCTAAGACGATCAAGTTATAGCTATTGTCCCAAAAGGCGTGTCTAGGCAAGCAGTTAAATCTAATTAGACTGACATGAGAGCTTAAGGAAGACAGTTAGAAGAAAACACCATGTCATGTGATTCATTATCTGCACGGCATCTTTTGATATTTGTTATCAAACATAAGACATGGATACATGATACTTGTGAGACATAACAATTTTTTTTTATTTCATAATGAGGGATAAAGAATGTCAAGTCTGGTGTGCGACGAACAGTCTAGGGCATAAAGTGATGAACTTCCGAATGATGCACTGTTGTTAGTTTAGTGATAGCTTAATGGCAGTGCTCCTGGTTATGTATGTTCTTTCTCGTGAGGTCACACGTCCCGTTTCCTGTATGAGGAGATAGACTAGAATGGATGTGAACTAAGTGTGTTGATTGAGACTATGCCACACCCTATGTGTGTGAGTGGGAAATGTAGGATTTATCTTATGGGATAAATACATATCAAAGGATATTCCACCCACATGAGGATATTAATCTACTAATTATCTATGTGATAATTAGATGAAAATCAAGAGATATTCATATTAGAATATACTTGGGATTTTCATGGGCTTTTCAGTCTTTGTACACTCTTCCCAACCACTATATTATGAGGCTTTGGGGAAGAGAGAAAACACAAGAAACACAAGTTTTTCCACAGTTCAAATATTCTAGTTAGGTCTTTAGAGCTATCACTTTCGGCTCTAGGTCTTAGGAGGCGAAAACCAAGGGGCAACTCGACATACCGTAGCCAACTCGACAATCTGCGAGGTTCTAGACGTGCACGGAGGGTTAGAGTAGTTGTTTGTGTTTGTAGGAGCGTGTTGAGATTCAAGCTTCCGCATAAAAGGTGCACACGTCATTTCAAATTTATTTATAGTCTTCCAACATCATCATTTGAAGATCACTCCAACCAAATATCATTCAAATCGAAAAATCATTGACACATCCAAACGTACCAAATAAATGAATGGTTCATCATGAATGTGTTACTTGGTACCTACACCGTTAATTTGTCCTATACATTTCAATGACTAAATGATATCCGATCAAATGATATTTTGTAGATTTGAACTTCAAATGAAGATAAAAAATTAAACGGTTCCGATTATAAAATCTGTAGCATGGGTATACATTATTTGCATGGAGGGAATAAGCTCATTCCTTCAAGTAAGGAATGTAAGTACTATCCAAAATAAATAAATAAATAAAACTTAATGTAAACAATTACAGCAACATCTGTATACCCACTCCCTAATCCAAATACCAGCTAGTTAACAGCATCTATATATGGGGGTCTTGGGTGCCAAATCCATTAGCAATAATAATGTAGTAAATATTACCAAACAGCCGTTGGAGCTGGTTCAACAACTTCATGTTCCTTTGTTTACGTACTACAACTTTGTGTGTACCTCTCTTGGCTGGGACTTAACGTTGTTTTCAATCAGTTGTCAAATTACAAATAAAAATATGGTTCAAAGACAGATAATCTGCTTAATGGACAAAGCTGTATTCTTTGACCGTTGGAGTGAAGTCGGTGCCAAAGCACTAGTGCATGCCAGAAAACTACACATTAATTAATCATCGCTAATACAAAATTAAGAAACTGTTTCACTGAGGTAAGATAATATTTATATCAGGTATGGATGGGAATGGTGTAATTTGCATGACGAGTATCGACATCGCCGTACGTGTAAAACAGACGGGCTTATGCAATTTGTATGATCAGATTTAACTTGGTTGACAATTGTGGGCGCATACTGTTTAGGAAATACAAGTGGAAATTATAATCTGATTCAACCAATTTTAATCATATTGCTTGTTAAACACTACAAAACATGAGGGATAATGTTTCTTTTTTCGGTGTTTCAGTTGATATGGCCAGAAAGTATGGAGGCGAGCTGAGCAAAGCCGAATATCATAGTGCTTTAAGTTTTGTTTATTTGAATTTTATCGAGCTTTGACTTTAGCTTGGTTTATTTCTTTAACGACTCCAACTTGATACAAGTTCGAGCTAATCTACTTATATAATGGGATGAGATTTTTTATACATATAATTAAATACGTACACTCCACTCTTTTTCGGTGTTTCAATTGATATGGCCAAAAATAATAGACGAGCTGAGCAAAGCCGAATATCGTAGTGTTAAAGTTTTGTTTATTTGAATTTTATCGTGCTTTGATTTAGCTTGGGCTTGGTTTATTTCTTTAACGAGTCCAGCTTGACACAAGTTGAAGCTAATCCACTTATATAAGGATGAGTTTTTTATTAGCACTTCACATTTAATTAAAGACACTCCACTCTTTTTCGGTGTTCAATTGATATGGCCAAAAAGAATAGACAGAGCTAAGCAAAGCCGAATATCATAATGTTTAAGTTGTTTATTTGAATTTTATCGAGCTTTGACTTAGCTTGGTTTATTTATTTAACGAGTCCAGCTTGATACAAGTTCAAGCTAATCCACTTATATGATGGGGTGAGTTTTTTAGTTAGCAGCCCACATATAATTAGAATACTCCACATAAAAATTAATTATTCAATAATTATATACCCTAATATGAAATTACCATTTAGGTACATAAGATTTTTTTTTTTAAAGAAAAATATTTTTCTAAATACATCCCAAATTATTTTCGACGTTTATTCTAAGATTCTTCTTCCCCATTGTAGAACAAAACTCGGTGACACAAACTACAAAAAAGGATCATAAAACTATACAAAGCTCGTAAGGATAGTAAACCTATCCTAATCCCTAAGAGGAAATAAAATTCGATTCAAAGAGGACAATTTAACTTGAGACCTCTTTCAACATTTCAAGTGAAAATACAACTAGATGGGTAGCTAGTTGGTCAAAACCTGTAGAATTTAGAGAATTTGACAATTGTGTTGATCTCACATTTACTGACTTCTAAAATTGAATTTAAACAGCATTTAAGACCCCCTCCTCGTTTTAGTGGTGTGGTTTATGTGATAGCCGTATAGAGGTTCAAAAATTATTTGTGTTTTGTGCTAATTACCTTCATATCAAGAAATTGGTTACTAGAACATATATACTCATCTGGCACCCTCGTAATTGGTTGTTTGTGGTAATGAAACTATATCGGTTCAATCAAAAAATGACCCCCCCTTTATTATCACAATAATTTTGGGCCAGTGTTGTTTAGCCCATAAGAGTCAAGCCCAAGGCCCAGCCCAATACTAACTCGAATTCGATTACCTACTCTTCCATGACCCGAAAGTTGCACAACCAGCATCGTCTTCTTCGAGTAGGTTTAAAGCCTTAAACCATAAACCCTAGACGCGCCTGAAATTCTCCCGACACAAAAAGGGGTTGGAATCCGATGTCGAACGGAGAAGATTACGACTCGGACGCGCCGGAGGAGCTCACGGCCGAGCAGGTAATCTAAGTCTTTGGGGAAAATTGAAAGTTTATGTTTTTATTTCCGACCATAAAGTTCTGAACTTTGTTCGTACGTTGTTAATGGTTACAGGGAGTACAACAAGACCAAGAACTTAACAAGCTCCAGAAAGAGCACAAAGCCAGGTGGGTTCACCTTGCTTTATTTGCTAAACAATGTTTTGATTTTTTATGGTTTCGGTTTGTTGCTTTATAAATGTTGGAAATTAAATTCATTGGATTGAGCTGGACTGTGTTCTTATGAAAATGATAAACTTGTGCTGCGTGGCTTGATTTTAAAAGACGAAAAGCCCGAAAAATTCAGGAAACTCGGAAATTCGGAATTCTGTTTGGGGTTCTTTGTAGTGTTCTCTCAATTCTCACTAGTCAGAGCACATACGAAATTATGTTTCTTTTTCTTATGCTTCTTGATAAAGTGATAGGCTTGAAATCGTGTTATTAAATGGAATAGATAAATGAATCCGCGGGATCACATCCAAGTTCTGTGGTTGAATTCCTATCTGATAGTTTTTTTTCCCGTGTTTATATGTTTCTAAGGGTGGAAGAAGTTTGATGCTTTGTGTTGTCTGATATATTACCTGGCAATGTACTGAAAAAAATGCTTTCTGCAATATCGAATGATGAATGTATTTATATGTGATCAACTGCGACCAACTGCAGTAACCTCGTGGAGTAATTGAGGAGTTGTTCGAATGTTGGTGCAACCCTGAAAATGTTCTATCACATATGTTATGTAGACAAGTTTTATACCTGTGATGAGTAATAAAAAGTTTAGTCAATAAGTGTTACTGGTCGTTGATTTTCTTTCTTTTTCTCTGTTTTTTGGGTCGAAGCACCCATTTGTGAAACATTTGTAGATAAAAACTTGGTGTAGATTACGGTATCCACATTTTGCATTACTTGCCTAAAAAATAAATTTTAACAGAAAATGATATTACTGTATATAGGGTGGTTCGTGAAGCAAAAGAACGTCGTAGACAATGGGCCCAAAAGAAAACACCCAAGAAAACACCAAAGCCGTCTGTAAGTGTTCAAGATGCCTCTGAACCTGAAGCAAACCAAGAATCTTTGGGTAATGGAGGGATGCTTCCAAGCAACATCGTTGAGCTGCTTGCAGCTCGTGAGAAGTATGACCCCTCTCTCTCTGCCTCGCTTTCTCTCTTCTCTTTGTATGTAGATGCTGATCTTTAGTTACGAGATTGTAACCAAATGACCACATTCCATGTGCAGGCAAAAGTTCCTCTCGGACTCTGAGGATGAGAAGACCGACTCAAAGTCCGCTAAGAAGAAGAAAAAGCTAAAAATCTCAGGGTGAGTGACCTCTTCTATAACGACAGCGAAAGATTACGTTTAATGCCACTCCATTATGAATGAAATGCGATCTTTCTTATAAGCGAAAATGTGAATTGCAGGGTGGATACTATCATATTGAAGGAGACACCTGCCCCTCAATGCTTACAGAATTCCTTAGCGTTCTTGGAGAAAAGGAGAATGCAGGTACCTAGATCATCTGCAGTGTTGAACAACTCCAACCAAGCATTACGCCTCCTCTCTTCTTCGGGCTTGTTAAGTAAAAAGTGACAAACTAAAATGTCAGCATTTTTTCCCCATGATGTATGCCATTATATTGTATGTGTTAAGCTGCTATGCATCGTAACTGGCCCCCCGGCGAGGACATGCCTACGAATTATGAACAAATGGGGAGGGATCCATTCCCACGGGATTTAACCGTCGAACTTATAGATTCTGCAGTTGTGTTGTATTACACATTGTTCTTCATCATATTTAACATATATTTTCTTTCATTTTTGTTTCATTGATAAAAGAATGCGTTTTTTTTTTTCTCTTGTGGCCCGGACCTTCTTTTATCTTTTGAAAAATTTGTCCATTAATTTAATAATTTTAAAAGAAATCTAAAGTTCGAATCTCATCACCCTACTTAAAAAATAAAAATAAAAAAGGTAAAAATAGCCATGGTATGAGCAGTGTTTTAATACTTTATGATCCTATGAACCAGTTTGGTTCTCTTTTTAGAATAGAGGGATGTTACTAGCATTTTAAAAAATTATTGTACTCTTTCATTTTTTGTAAGTGCATTTTTTTTTTAAATGCAAAAAATTTGAGCGCACGATAATTGTTTTGGAGTGCCAACAACAGCATCCGAAGAGTATATGATTAAATGTTGGGAAATACTATTGGAGGCATTATTATATCTTACCTACTTTTCAAAATGCTAAATTACTCTAAATTAATAGGAGTAGCTCTAACTAACTTTGCTAAATTCACATATAAAAATTCGAACTTGAATAGAAAAGACGAGCACACTAATCTAACCAATTTTTATTTTGCTAAAAACGTATCCCCGTTATCTAATTATCGTGTCCATATAACTGGTTGCAAAGTGGAAGCAAAAAGCTTTTGTCCTATTTACCAAAAACAAAATAAAAAGTAAAATCTTTTTGCCCCACTTTTCGCTCATCAGATTAGACAATTTGTTTTTAGAGTGTTTTAATGAAAAATTTTCAGTACTGTTTATTTTAACGAAAAATTATATTTTTACACTAAAAAATCAAATTTAGTACTATTCACTTTACTCTTTATTTTGTCCTTATCGTTTAAGCTCAAAAATTTCAAACCTTCTCATTAGTTTTCATTTGTTTTTATGCCCTGGATTTTTGCACAAAGTAAAAACACCATTCAAGTCCCCATGGAGTCACTCAGTGATCTGTTTCCTTTCTCGACATCATATCAAAACATGTGTAAACCTTTGATCATAGAATTGAAATTTTGAGATGGGTTGAAAGCATTAGAAAAGCTACATGCAATAGATTATGATAAAAGCTGCTTAATACAGAAGTGCTTCTCATCTACTACATAATAATAGAAGTACAAAATCAATAGATTTAATGTTACTAAGCCTAAGGGGAGGAGAAAGAGTCCTCCTGGTGCAGCCATGTCTCATGGTGGATGTTAGAAGTAGGAGTCCTAGGACTAGTACCAGGTTCTGGAGAGCTCCTGCTGCTTCCCATGAAAGCTTGAAAAGCACTTTTAACCTTGCTCACGTGCTTATGGTGGCGAATGCGTCTGAGAACAACATCTCTGTCCAAGGAAGCTGCAGTGGGTGATTTCAAGTAGACGTGGCTTGTGATGGAGCTCTGTGACTCAGGAGAAACTTCATGGCCATCTTTGATCTTACCAGAAGCAGCTTCTGCGAAAGTTGATGGCTGTTGCTGTTGAGCCTTGGAAATCATGAAAGCCATGAGAGGAGAGAAAAAAAGGGTTTTGTGAAAGATGTAGGAATTGAAGGCTTCTAGCTTCTGGCTTATGGGGCTTTGTTTTATAGGACAGTGGTATCGGTGGTTTTTGGAGTTACTGTATTAGTGCAGTTTTGTTGTTTTGTTCTAGCTAGGAAGTGGTTTTTCGGGTTTCAAGGTTCTTTGCTGCCTGTGGTTTCCTTTGTTTTAAAAGGATAAACTACGGTTTAATCCCCTAAATTATTATCATAGTTGAAAATGACTCTGAATTATTTTTTTGATAAATTAATCTCTTGAATTATTTAAAATAAGCCAATTAACCCTTTGTCATTAGATTTCATCTACTATTACGTCAAATTCAACGGCAAATTAATCTTTTTATCAACAATTTTTACTTGTCAGTTATAATTGCCAATAAAATAATGATACGTGGATACGGAATAATTAAAATACTTATAACATAATAAGAAACATAAAGAAACCAAACGTTTGAATAACAAACCATTTCATATTGTCATTACACATTATTATACATTATTATGTGCCCACATGTTATAATTTATTGGTAGTTATAAGTGACATATAAAAATTGATGATGAAAAGACTAATTTTCCCTTGAATTTGACAGAATTGTGGACTAAATCTAATGACAAAGGGTTAATTAGCTTATTTCAAATAATTCAGAGGGTTAATTTACTAAAAAAAATAATTTAGGATATCAGTTTCAACTGAACTAATAATTCAGAAAGTCAAACTGTAATTTACCCCTTTTTTTAATGCCATGGACATTTGACCCAATGGTCGACGATTGTGTGATTGCTTGGTGTAATTTCAGTTGCTTTATTGTTTTTATTTTCTTCATTTTTTGCATTATTTTACAAAAGGTGGAGTGTTATTGTTTAAAGTGAATTGATGCAATAGTGGTATCTCATTAATTTTGAACACTGATGGAGTGATGGTAGTAGATTAGACCATTTTGTTTCCGTCACGTCAAAAGACGACGTCTAAAAAAAAACTGCACTTTCCACATTAGTAAAGGTGAGTGTTTTGCTTTTAAACCACGATGAGAGCTCGAATCTTTTTAACTTTCTAATCTAATAACTTAATTTTTTTTTACCAAAAAAAAATACATAAATAAGATTTTTGAAGTCCGAATCATCTAGTTGGCTCTTTAATCTAATAACTCTATTTTTTTACTAAAAAAAAAGTACATAAATAAGATTTTTGAAGTCTGAAAAACAATTATCTAAGACTTCAATTATTGTCAATGATTAAAGTTTGGGAAATGAGTACGAATTTTAGGAAAGATGTTTATGTTTTGGCCTTTATCTATAAATTGACATTATGTGGGCGAAAGTTATATGACCTAATTACTATTAAAAGTAATTTATTTTCCTTTATCTGTTTCTTGTTGTAAAAATAACACGGAGTTTGTTTCTGCAGCCATCAGCCATCAGCCATCAGCCATGTCGGCTGATTTTGTCAGACACCTGACGACTGATTTCTAATCAGGTTGGCCGGCCCCACAGCGTTATCCTTCTTTTTTGTCATTTATTTTTTACATTTATTTACAAATTAAAAAAAATCCTTAATTATTTTAATTTACTAGAAGAAAATGTGGACTCAAGTTTAAGATAATGAACAACACTGTCAGAATTAACTAGCTTAACTCACAATACGTTATCTAAAAAAAAAAAAACCTATAGGTTCTAAATCAAGAAATTTCAATCTAAACACAAGAAAAAAAATAAAATAAAATAAAAGTGTTGACGCTACAGGAGTACAATGAATGTGCAGAAATCTGTCCCTATAATTGCAGAGTTAATTATTGCGTTGAGTATATCGTGATTGTAAATATAGGGTTTTGTAAAAGGGTTGCATTATCCTTTTTAACTTAAGAAATAATAAAAGAGATTCTCTTCATTGGTACTTTGTCACTTTATAATTTAACGTTAATTATCGTATCAATATTATAAAGTATTATGCTAAAAATATAGGGAGTATTTTTGCACATCATCATTTATTGTGATGTATGCTCACCATCTTATTTATCACCATTATATAAGTTTGAATTTCGAGATTCGTGTAGTAGATATGCACAAATCTCAAAATTCAAACTCATGTAACGGTGATAAATAAAGTAGTGAGTCTACACCACATTAAATGATGGTGAATAAAAATGCATTCAAAAATATAAAGTGTTAAGATAATCTATAGAGTCCATCGAGAGTTCCACTTTTGGAATAATACCTTTAGCATTTCTCTTTTAATTTTCTATCTCATCCACATCTCAAAACAAATATCTGCACGTTGATTTGGAGCTTCCTCAAAGATGTCCCTACGATGGCGGGCAACACGAAAGCGACTCAAAGAAACAAAACAATGGGTGACTTCGGTTGTTTCGGATTATAATCCGAGGGCCATTTCACTCTGACTAACTTTAATGTTGTTTCGGATTATAATCCGAGGGCAGTTTCACTCTGACCAACTTTAATTTAGATTATACTTGAAAAAAATAGTAACTATGCGTAAAGAAAACAAAGACCAGATCGGATAAATGGTCCATTCGGTAAAAAAAAAACTATATTTAAACCCACGTGGATATTTTCATGGATTGTTATTGTTACTGTTGTCAAGGAAAGTCAACAGAAAGCCGCTGACGATGCGGCGAGCCACAGGGTTAGGGATACAGCGACACAACCGACCGTCTACATATGCTACAATCCCTGACAGAACAAACTTGCCGACGCCCCATTTGAGGCCGGCAACAAACTTGGGTGGTTGGCTTGCTGGGACAACTGCATTAGGATTGGTGTCTTCGGATTTCCACTTGATGTTGGAGATGAACTTGTTTGCTTGCTTCCTTAGCAACCGGATGGCGAAGCTTACGAACAGGTGCTCGCACAACGTAAGCACCGTTGGTCCGAGCCTCCATTCCTGTTGTAAAGTTTCTCTTTTAGTTACTTGTAATGCTTGATGGGTGAAATGCAGAAAGTGAAGTTACTGCATGATATTTATCTTCCAAAAAACTATTGACAGCCAAGGAAAAACTAATGCAGAACAGAAACGAGCAAAACCGGTTTTAGTTCATATCAGGATATCCACATTGTTCTTTCATGGACTAAAAAAATCGAAGTGGGAAGAAATAATAATGCAATTTACAGACTCGGAACATCTTCTGTTAAATCCCCGGATACTGAGATATGTAACTTATCTAGTTCAAGTTAATGCATGTGGAACGATAAAAAGTCGAAAAATTATAAGGATCATGAGCCATTTGTGTTACAGAAACAAGACAACATGGTTAAGGTGTGAGTACAATGTTAGTACGTTTCATATCAAAAGCACTTATTTTCTGACTAATTGCAAAAATCATATCAAAGAAATAAAGGTTGTGGAGGAAGGGGGGTCCACTTACATTTTCACCTCGAAGACGACTCAGCGGGCGAGATGCTGCTGAAGGATCTCCTTTTAGCAATGCCTTGCTCACAAGAAACCCCTTCACCCGATCCATAATCTCCTCTATGAGGGAACTGTTTGGGGGTAGGTTT